TTGAGTCGTCCTATTACGACTAGAATTCTAATTATGGTTTATTTTCGGTCCACATACTTAAAATTACCACATCATATTAATTACAACCCGTATGGTATAAAAAGTCCAATTGATCACTTAATAAATTTGGCCCAATCACAAATATCATTATGAGTCATACATCGAACCCGTAAAATTTGCAATCTAATGTGAAGCTCACATATGAAATTATTCCAACACAAGTAACATGATGCTTAATTTTCAGACAATGTTCAAATTAATTATTGCAAATATGATGAATCTTATCTATGCTTGTTACAGTATAAGTTGACTTATGATTAAACAATAACATAACTAGAATGATGAAATGGCATTAAAATTGGAAGTAAAGGTAGTTGAAGCTCTCGAAAAGTTTGCATAGAGGGATAATGAAGAAATAACATATAAGGGGAGTACTGTTGCTTGTGCGCGTATTTGGAATCTTTGTATAATTTGATTTTACTCTAAATTATCTTATAAATAGAGAGTCATTCTTAGACTTTATATTATTATCGAGAGAGAGAGAGAGAGAGAGAGTACATAGGAGTTTGATTTTATCTTGTAAACATTTTTTCCCATCATAGTGAATAACTGCAACGACGGGAGAAGACTTGTCTCAAATTGAGGCAAATCTGTATAAATCTTGCATGTTCTTAAGTGTTTATTTTTCTTTCTTCAAATTGATTGCTTTCGATAGAATAGAATTAAAGTTCATAATTCTCGAAACCTTGTAGGCCAAAAAGTTAGTCGAGGACAAAAGGTACATAAATATGATGATCACTTGACCACGTACTCATCTTCATCTTGCGTGAAACTGCATTTTTGAACTAGATAGTTTTCACTTATTACCAAATTTAACTAAACATATTACATATTAAAAAAAAAAAAAAAAATTGGCATTTTAGGATACGATTAGGGACGGAAAAATTCCCCGACCAGCTAGCCTCATTTAAACTTCCCCAAACTGCACACATTCTTATTTTCTTTTGTGTTTAAAATTAAATCGTATTTATAAAAAAGTAATATTGCAAAACAAATAAATGACTATGCACAAATAAAATTTACTTGAATACTTCTTCTTCTTCTTTTTTTTCTTTTTTTTTTGAAGTTTCATGTATATATTTGGTTAAGTAAACAGACTTTCATTTGCAAAAAAGAATTTAGAAAATTTAATTCCGATTAGTATCAGACTTAGTGATGGAATTTGGCCCTTGTAACCATATATAATTTAAACAGCTAATAAGTAATGAATTTAGTTATTATCTAATTTAAATAGCTAGAAATGTTAAAAATTAACTATATAATCATCTGGAAATGTATTTAAGAATTAATTCAATTATTTAGACAAATATAATCTTTTTAAATAATAATTCGTTAAAATTATCAATATTAATTTGGACTTTTGTTAATAAGCGATATTCATCAGTTTTACTTGTTTGAAATTAATTTTTCTAATTTTTGAAATAGTAGTTTTTATCATGAGAATTTGTACACATTCACGAAATGTCATTGAACTATATGTATTCTTCTAATTGTTTACAATAAATAATAAAAGACGAGAATTTTCTAGCTCCTTCGAAGGTCCTTTTTTTTCTTTTTTCTTTTTTAATCTCCAACGGCTATTTTATGATACATTACACGCCCCTTTTAATTTAGCTAACATGGGATGAAATTTTGTTAGTTCAATTGCCTTTACCGTAGCATATAATCGACATTTTAGTTTATTGTTGTGCATAACAATTTTAAGTCTCCATAATCACAAAAAATGTTGCAAATTGTATAGTTGATAAGTCGAGTATGGTAGGTGTTATCAATATCGTTCACTATTGGAGGAAAAAGTTGGACACTTCATGTTGATAAAATTTTGTGATTCTTATTAAAAAAAATATTCTAGATCGAAATAAGAAAAATAATGTGTTCGGTGCACATTGAATTGGACCGCCCACATGACCGACTTGTGACCACTAGGCATAAGTGTTTACATGACTCACAAAACGAGTGACCTATATCCTTAACGGTTATTATACTCGTAATTGTCAGCTCAAATTCATTCGAGTACCAAAGGGTGGTATTTCTTGTTTGGAAGATTGATCTTGGTACTTTGGAACTTAGCACAAAATGATTTAAGTTCATATACTTGCAAGATGAAATCCGTTAATCATATAATAGTTGAGAAGAACGTCACTTCGATAGATTTTGTACTGGGATACAAGATAATGAGGGTCTAGATACACTTGTAGGTAGATTGTTAAGCTCATGTTGTAACATATAGTGTCATGATAATTAGAACTCCAAAAATAAATGATTTGTATTCAATTTCCCCACATGTACTTACTAGTAATTTGAATGCCGTTGTCTCTTAAATGATTAGATTGAAGTGAGGCGTAAGAGATTAGGTCATATAAATGATAAATATTTGAAACTATAGAAAAATTAAGGTTGTTCGGATAATGATCCTAAATTATGTGAGCAGTGAATCTTAGGTAAACAAATTAGACTTTCATTTATGCCTAGCTTGCATAAATCTCAAAGTATACCTGAGTATGTATATACTGATTTGTGGTATGTATTGCTACCCATACTAGTTTTAGATATTTCCTATTCTTGTTGATGACTTTCTTTAGGAAGATTTGGATTTTCTTGTTGAGGTCCAAGTAGTTTTGAAAATTATAAAAAAAACAAATAGGAAAATTCTAAAAATAAAAAATAAAATGAAGATTCAAGCACTTAGAACACGTAATGAACTTGAAATTCGTGAAGATATAAAGACGGCTAATTATTTGATTAAGAGGAGACCATTTATAGCCGTTATTCATAAAACAGGTAATTAGCACAAAACATCCCTACCTTTCATGATTTTTGTGGAAAACGTCCATATCTTTCGTTTTTTGGCGAATTTCATCCCTACCTTTACATTTTCATCAATTTTCTCAATAAAAAGTTATAAAATGGCTAATATACCCTTCTATTTAAATTAAAAAAAATAAAGAACTAATTGCAATCATAGTTCCAATTTTTAAAAAAGTTCAAAAGAGGAGGTGAAGGTGGAGAATTTTTTATTTTTTTATTTGGAACTACGATTGCATTTAGTTCTTTATTTTTTATTTAAATATAAGGGTATACTAGTCATTTTATAGCTTTTATTAAGAGAAATGATGAAAATGATGTTTTGCCCAAGAAAAGGTAAAGATAGGGATGAAATGCGCCAAAAAACGAAATGTAGGGACGTTTTTCACAAAAATCATGAAATGTAAGGATGTTTTTCACAAAAATCATGAAATGTAGGGACGTTTTGTACTAATTACCCTTCATAAAACCGCTGAGAAATAGAATAATTCACTTAAAACCATTCTAACGTAAGAGTTTTTTGATGTGCAACTTATGCGCATTAAAATGAAGGCAAGTTTGAACCTAAGTCCCTCGTATCTATTTTCTTGGGATATGGGAACGGGTTAACGGGTACAGTTTGCGGGTAGAGAGAAAAAAGGTTTTAAGATAATAAGTAGAAATATTGTCTTTAATGAAAACATGCTTGGTTGATAATAAAGAAAAACCTCTGGATCGTCCACAAGATAATGATGACATTGTTGAAATAAGTATTGAGTGATCTTTGCTGGAACCAAATGAATCTTGAGAGTATCTTCAACGCCAGCCTTATGATTTGAGTCATCTTTGCTGGAACCAAATGAAGCTTGAGAGTATCTTCAACGCCAGCCTTACGATTTAAAATTTTCTGAATTGCTATATTTCTATTAGTTGTACTATATTTTTTAAATTTACTAATGAATTCAATATTTTTTGTTAACTAAACGTAATTATTTATTTAATAATTTATATAGTAATAAAATAAATAAATAATTTTTGAGATACGACTTAAGACTAGACTTGTAGTTAAAGACATTCCATAAAAAGAGAGTCTTGACTATAACGAAACATTTTCTCTAGTCATAAAATATACCACAATCAGAGTGATCTTTGCTCATTACTCAATTTAATTGGGAACTCGAGCAAATGAATGTTAAATTTGTCTTCTTAAATGGTTACCTAGAGGAAAGAATATTCATGAAACAATACGAGGGTTTTGATGTGAACGATAATTAAAACTTCAGGGTGCCACACATACACACAAGGGGGGAAATACTTTTTAATTCGGCGCGGGACCCATGCCTCGACAATGAGGGTCCTTCTTCGACTGTGAGGGAGCAATCAGCCGTTGTGTCAACGCCGCGGGTCGTTTAGCATTTTTCTTAAATCTTGGTTTATGTCAAATCCTAGTGAGACCCACCGAGAAGAATTGAAGTGGTTAAAATATCTTAATAGTACCTCTCAATTAGGCCTTATTTTTGACAGGTGCAAGGAATGTGCTAGACGAGGGTGTTTGGGGATGATTTTTAACTCCAAAAAATTGATATTTTAGCCGTTATTTTACTATTTCAGCGATAAAGTTTGACTTCTACTCTCACATGTGCCCCCCCCCCCCCCCTTTTTCCCCAA